GGAATTATGAACAGATGAGAAGTTTCCTAAGTGAAATACTTTGGGACACAGACCTCAGAGATAAGTCTGTACAGGGTATGATGGACTATGTTACCCAAAAGTGTCAGGTGGCAGTAAACAGGTTCATCCCGGCCCAAAGGGAGACATCCGAGAAGCAACAGAAGAATCCATGGTATAATAGGGCATGTATGGAAGCGAAGAAACTGAACAAAAGGGCGTGGAGGACCTTCCGGAATAACAGAACACCAGAAAGCAGAGAGAGATACCAGAGAGCCAGGAATGAGTACGTCAGGGTGAGAAGAGAAGCAGAGAAAAGTTTTGAAAATGATATAGCAAACAAAGCCAAGACCGAACCAAAGCTACTCCACAGTCACATCAGAAGGAAAACAGTGAAAGAACAAGTATTGAATCTTAGAACAGTCGAGGACAGGTATACAGAGAATGACAAAGAGGTGTGTGAAGAACTCAACAAGAGGTTCCATGAGGTCTTCACAATAGAACAAGGTGAGGTCACTGTGCTAGGAGAAAGGGAGGTAAACCAGGCAGCCTTGGAAGGGTTCAAAATTACAAGAGAGGAGGTCAAGAGACATCTGCTGGATCTGGATGTGAGAAAGGCTGTTGGTCCAGATGGGATCTCACCATGGATACTGAAAGAGTGTGCAGAGGCACTTTGCTTGCCACTCTCCATAGTGTATAGTAAGTCACTGGAGACGGGAGACCTACCAGAAATATGGAAGACGGCGAATGTGGTCCCAATATACAAAAAGGGCGACAGGCAAGAGGCACTGAACTACGGGCCAGTGTCCTTGACTTGTATACCATGCAAGGTGATGGAGAAGATCGTGAGAAAAAACCTGGTAGCACATCTGGAGAGAAGGAACTTCGTGACAAATCGCCAACATGGGTTCAGGGAGGGTAAATCTTTCCTGACTGGCTTAATAGAATTCTACGACCAGGTGACAAAGATTAAGCAAGAAAGAGAGGGCTGGGCGGACTGCATTTTCTTGGATTGTCGGAAAGCCTTTGACACAGTACCGCATAAGAGGCTGGTACATAAGCTGGAGAGACAGGCAGGTGTAGCTGGTAAGGTGCTCCAGTGGATAAGGGAGTACCTAAGCAATAGGAAGCAGAGAGTTACAGTGAGGGGTGAGACCTCAGATTGGCGTGAAGTCACCAGTGGAGTCCCACAGGGCTCTGTACTCGGACCTATCCTGTTTCTGATATACGTAAATGATCTCCCAGAGGGTATAGACTCATTCCTCTCAATGTTTGCTGACGACGCCAAAATTATGAGAAGGATTAAGACAGAGGAGGACAGCTTGAGGCTTCAAGAAGACCTGGACAAGCTGCAGGAATGGTCGAACAAATGGCTGTTAGAGTTTAACCCAAGCAAATGTAATGCAATGAAGATAGGGGTAGGAAGCAGGAGACCAGATACAAGGTATCATTTGGGAGATGAAATACTTCAAGAGTCAGAGAGAGAGAAAGACCTGGGGGTTGATATCACGCTAGACCTGTCCCCTGAAGCTCATATCAAGAGGATAACATCAGCAGCATATGCCAGGTTGGCTAACATAAGAACGGCCTTTAGAAACTTGTGCAAGGAATGCTTCAGAACATTATATACCACATATGTCAGACCAATCCTGGAGTATGCGGCTCCAGCATGGAGTCCATATCTAGTCAAGCATAAGACTAAACTGGAAAAGGTTCAAAGATTTGCCACCAGACTAGTACCCGAGCCGAGAGGTATGAGCTACGAGGAAAGACTACGGGAATTAAACCTCAATTCGTTGGAAGACAGAAGAGTTAGGGGGGACATGATCACCACATTCAAGATTCTTAAGGGAATCGACAGGGTAGATAAAGACAGGCTATTTAACACAAGGGGCACACGCACAAGGGGACACAGGTGGAAACTGAGTGCCCAAATGAGCCAGAGAGATATTAGAAAGAACTTTTTTAGTGTCAGAGTGGTTGACAAATGGAATGCATTAGGAAGTGATGTGGTGGAGGCTGACTCCATACACAGTTTCAAGTGTAGATATGATAGAGCCCAATAGGCTCAGGAACCTGTACACCTGTTGATTGACGGTTGAGAGGCGGGACCAAAGAGCCAGAGCTCAACCCCCGCAAACACAACTAGGTGAGTACAACTAGGTGAGTACACACACACACACACACGTGTGTGTGTGTGTGTGTGTGTGTGTGTGTGTGTGTGTGTGTGTGTGTGTGTGTGTGTGTGTGTGTGTGTGCTTTTGTTAAGCCAAAGCTAGAATATGCAGCAGTTGTGTGGTGTCCATATCTTCAGAAGTACATCAAAAAACTGGAAAAGGTGCAAAGACATGCTACTAAGTGGCTCCCAGGACTCAAGGGCAAGAGCTACGAGGAGAGGTTAGAGGCATTAAATATGCCAAAACTAGTAGACAGAAGAAAAAGAGGTGATATGATCACTACATACAAAATAGTAACAGGAATTGATAAAATCGATAGGGAAGATTTCCTGAGACTTGGAACTTTAAGAACAAGAGGTCATAGATATAAACTAGCTAAACACAGATGCCGAAGAAATATATGAAAATTCACTTTCGCAAACAGAGTGGTAGACGGTTGGAACAAGTTAGGTGAGAAGGTGGTGGAGGCCAAGACCGTCAGTAGTTTGAAAGCGTTATATGACAGAGTGTTGGGAAGACGGGACACCACGAGCACAGCTCTCATCCTGTAACTACACTTAGGTAAAAAAAAAAAAAAAATTACACATCCATCCATCATATCCGTGCTGGATATGATGGATTATGTCACCGAGAAATGTCAGGAAGCCTTCAGACAGGTTTATCCCGGTCCAAAAGGAGACAAGCGAAAAACAACAGAAAACCCCCTGGTTCAACCAGGAATGTAAGGTAGCGAAGCAACTGAGTAAAAGAACATGGAGAAACTACAGGAATAACAAACTGCCAGAGAGCAGGGAGAGATACCAGAGGGCCAGGAATGAGTACCTCAGAGTGAGAAGAGAAGCAGAGAGACAGTACGAAAATGACATCGCGAGTAAAGCCAAGACCCAACCAAAGCTGCTCCACAGCCACATCAGGAGGAAAACAGCAGTGAAGGAACAAGTGATGAAGCTGCGAAAGGGGAGAACAGATACACAGAGAACGACAAAGAGGTGTGTGAAGAACTCGACAAGAGATTCCAGGAGGTCTTCACAATAGAACAAGGAGAGGTCCCTGCACTTAACGAGGAGGCGGCAAACCGAACAACCTTGGAGGAAATTTACCTCACCAGTAAATTTACTGGTGAGGTAAATTTACCTCCAAGATTCCTTTTTCAGGTCAAAAGGAATCTGTTGGAGCTGAATGTGTCAAAGGCTGTTGAGCAAGACAGAATCTCACCATGGCTACTAAAGGAAGATGCAGAAGCACTAAGTGTGCCACTCTCTATGGTGTATAACAGGTCACTGGAAACAGGAGACTTACCAGAAAGTTGGAAGACAGCTAATGTAGTCTCAATTTACAAAAAGGGTGACAGGCAAGAGACACTGAACTACAGACCAGTTTCCCTAACTTGTACACCATGCAAGGTGATGGAGAAGATCGTGAAGAAAAGGCTCGTAGAGCATCTGGAGGGAAACAGCTTTGTAACGCACCACCAACATGGGTTCAGAGATGGTAAATCGTGCCTCACAGGCCTAATAGAATTCTATGATCAAGCAACACAAATTAGGCAGGAAAGAGAAGGGTGGGCCGACTGCATTTTCTTGGACTGTCAGAAAGCCTTTGACACAGTACCCCATAAAAGACTGTTACAAAAGTTGGAGCAGCAGGCAGGAGTAAAAGGTAAGGTGTTCCAGTGGATAAGGGAGTATCTAAGCAATAGGAAACATCGAGTGACTGTGAGGAAGGAGACATCAGAGTGGCGGGATGTCACCAGCGGAGTCCCACAGGGCTCAGTACCTGGACCCATCCTGTTTCAAATATATGTGAACGATCTTCCGGAGGGTATAGACTCATTCCTCTCAATGTTTGTTGATGATGCAAAAATTATGAGAAGAATCAAAACAGATGAAGATAGACAGACTACAGGACGACCTGGACAAACTGAAGGAATGGTCTAGAAAATGGCTACTAAAGTTCAACTCAGGAAAGTGTAAAGTAATGAAATTAGGCGAAGGGAGCAGAAGGCTGAACACAAGGTACCATCTGGGAGGTGAAATCTCGCAAGAGTCAAATAGAGAGAAAGATCTGGGGGTCGATATCACACCGAACCTGTCCCCAGAGGCCCACATCAAAAGAATATCATCAGCGGCATATGCTAGACTGGCCAATATAAGAACTGCCTTTAGAAACTTGTGTAAGGAACCGTTCAGGACCCTGTATACCACTTATGTCAGACCAATCCTGGAGTATGCAGCTCCAGTCTGGAGTCCATACCTAGTTAAACAAAAGACGAAGTTAGAGAAGATTCCGAGGAATGCCACCAGACTGGTCCCGGAACTGAGAAGTTTGAGCTACGAGGAAAGGCTAAAGGAGCTGAACCTCACATCCCTGGAAGACAGAAGAGTAAGGGGAGACATGATAACCACCTACAAAATTCTCAGGGGAATTGTCAGGATGGACAAAGACAAACTCTTCAGCACGGGTGGGACACGAACAAGGGGACACAGGTGGAAATCGAGTACCCAAATGAGCCACAGAGACGTTAGAAAGAATTTTTTCAGTGTCAGAGTAGTTAATAAATGGAATGCTTTAGGAAGTGATGTGGTGGAGGCTGACTCCATACACAGTTAATAATGTAGATATGATAGAGCCCAATAGGCTCAGGAACCTGTACATCTGTTGATTGACGGTTCAGTGGCGGGACCAAAAAGCCAGAGCTCAACCCCCGCTAACACAACTAGGTGAGTACTTCACCCTCCACACAATACTACCACTAACAACAACAAACACACTAACTACAACAAACACCTCCACTAACACTCTTCAATAAGGATTAACAACACAAACTTTTATATAAACATATTTTATTACCAGAATAAAATATTAACACAGATTCACACGAAACACAGACACACTGTTATTGGTCGACCAGGTACATGACGTCACGTCTCTCCTCTGGGAAGGCTGTTATTGGTCGACCAGGTACATGACGCCACGTCTCACCTCTGGGAAGGCTGTTATTGGTCGACCAGGTACATGACGTCACGTCTCTCCTCTGGGAAGGCTGTTATTGGTCGACCAGGTACATGACGTCACGTCTCTCCTCTGGGAAGGCTGTTATTGGTCGACCAGGTACATGACGTCACGTCTCACCTCTGGGAAGGCTGTTATTGGTCGACCAGGTACATGACGTCACGTCTCTCCTCTGGGAAGGCTGTTATTGGTCGACCAGGTACATGACGTCACGTCTCTCCTCTGGGAAGGCTGTTATTGGTCGACCAGGTACATGACGCCACGTCTCTCCTCTGGGAAGGCTGTTATTGGTCGACCAGGTACATGACGTCACGTCTCTCCTCTGGGAAGGCTGTTATTGGTCGACCAGGTACATGACGTCACGTCTCTCCTCTGGGAAGGCTGTTATTGGTCGACCAGGTACATGACGCCACGTCTCACCTCTGGGAAGGCTGGTATTGGTCGACCAGGTACATGACGTCACGTCTCTCCTCTGGGAAGGCTGGTATTGGTCGACCAGGTACATGACGTCACGTCTCTCCTCTGGGAAGGCTGGTATTGGTCGACCAGGTACATGACGTCACGTCTCTCCTCAGGGAAGGCTGTTATTGGTCGACCAGGTACATGACGTCACGTCTCACCTCTGGGAAGGCTGTTATTGGTCGACCAGGTACATGACGTCACGTCTCACCTCTGGGAAGGCTGGTATTGGTCGACCAGGTACATGACGCCACGTCTCTCCTCTGGGAAGGCTGTTATTGGTCGACCAGGTACATGACGTCACGTCTCACCTCTGGGAAGGCTGTTATTGGTCGACCAGGTACATGACGCCACGTCTCACCTCTGGGAAGGCTGTTATTGGTCGACCAGGTACATGACGCCACGTCTCTCCTCTGGGAAGGCTGTTATTGGTCGACCAGGTACATGACGCCACGTCTCACCTCTGGGAAGGCTGGTATTGGTCGACCAGGTACATGACGCCACGTCTCACCTCTGGGAAGGCTGTTATTGGTCGACCAGGTACATGACGCCACGTCTCACCTCTGGGAAGGCTGTTATTGGTCGACCAGGTACATGACGCCACGTCTCTCCTCTGGGAAGGCTGTTATTGGTCGACCAGGTACATGACGCCACGTCTCACCTCTGGGAAGGCTGGTATTGGTCGACCAGGTACATGACGCCACGTCTCACCTCTGGGAAGGCTGTTATTGGTCGACCAGGTACATGACGCCACGTCTCACCTCTGGGAAGGCTGTTATTGGTCGACCAGGTACATGACGTCACGTCTTACCTCTGGGAAGGCTGTTATTGGTCGACCAGGTACATGATGTCACGTCTTACCTCTGGGAAGGCTGTTATTGGTCGACCAGGTACATGACGTCACGTCTCACCTCTGGGAAGGCTGTTATTGGTCGACCAGGTACATGACGTCACGTCTCACCTCTGGGAAGGCTGTTATTGGTCGACCAGGTACATGACGTCACGTCTCACCTCTGGGAAGGCTGTTATTGGTCGACCAGGTACATGACGTCACGTCTCACCTCTGGGAAGGCTGTTATTGGTCGACCAGGTACATGACGTCACGTCTCACCTCTGGGAAGGCTGTTATTGGTCGACCAGGTACATGACGTCACGTGTATTATCATTGAGACGGCCACTATTGGTCAACCAGCAACTTGACGTCACATATCTTACCACGAAGAAGGCACTATTGGTCAACCAGCAACATGACGTCACATGTACTACCAACATACATTGCACTTTAGGCTACATAGAACATGATGCAACCGAGAAAATTACGTCATGAACTGTTGGTTCGTTACGCTATTGGTTGTTGATGACGTCACGTTTATCGTCGTGAAGGGTTATTGGTTGCCACATATGACGTCACGACCCATTACGTCAACACGTCGCCATTGGGTCTATGGCACAGGAAGAGAATACAGAATGCACAGACACACACGGACGGTGAATACATACACAAACACACACGGACGGTGAATACATACACAAACACACACGGATGCATACATGAACGCAATTATATGTAACCACACACAAGACAAACATAATATTGTCGACATTGTTTATGCCCAGAAGTAAATATTATTTATTTATAGAAATGTCAAGACCAGCTTGTGGACGGAACTCCGTCCTCTTTAGTCCCCCTTCTTCACCATATCCATTTTCTTTATAATATTTTTGATGGGGAACTTCAGTGTTCTTTAACGGATTACTGAAGCGTTACAACGTCGGTATCCGGCCAAGATCACCCGGACGACCATTACACATGGTGAAGGGTCACTAGTTGCGTGGAGGGACGACCCCAATGGCCGCGTTGAGGTCGTACTTGTTGGCGGCGCTTGCACAGTCGACGTTGAACCACCAGTCACAGACGAAGTAGTTCTGGTTGAAGAGCGTCCCGTTGGGGCACAGGAACGACCCCATCTTCCCACCGTTCAGGCACACGTGGAACACCTGAAACACAGATAGACGATCACTGATACACACCACACAACACACACTCACTCACACACCACACAACACACACTCACACAACACACACTCACACACCACACAACACACACTCACTCACACACCACACAACACACACTCACTCACACACCACACAACACACACTCACTCACACACCACACAACACACACTCACATGTGGTGTGGGAAAAAAAAAAATAAAATAAAATAAAATAAAAAGTAGTTAGTAAACAGTTGATTGGCAGTTGAGAGGCGGGCCGAAAGAGCAAAGCTCAACCCCCGCAAAAACACAACTAGTAAACACAGTTTCAGGAGGTCTTTACAATAGAACAGGGAGAAGTCACGCCGCTAGAAGAGGTGGCAGCAAACCAGGCGACCTTGGATAGGTTCGAAATTACAAGAGATGAGGTCAAGAAGCACCTATTGGAGCTGGACGTGAGAAAAGCTGTTGAGCCGGATGGAATCTCACCATGGGTCTTGAAAGAGTGTGCAGGAGCACTTTGTTTGCCACTCTCCATAGTGTATAGTAGGTCACTGGAAACGGGAGACCTACCAGAAATATGGAAGACTGCTAATGTAGTACCAATATACAAAAAGGGCGACAGGCAAGAGGCACTGAACTACAGGCCAGTGTCCTTGACTTGTATACCATGCAAGGTGATGGAGAAGATCGTGAGAAAAAACCTGGTAACACGTCTGGAGAGAAGGGACTTCGTGACAACCCATCAACATGGGTTCAGGGAGGGTAAATCTTGCCTCACAGGATTGATGGAATTCTACGATCAGGTGACAAAGATTAAGCAAGAAAGAGAAGGATGGGCGGACTGCATTTTTTTGAACTGTTGGAAAGCCTATGACACAGTACCCCATAAAAGGTTGATGCATAAGCTGGAGAAACAGGCAGGAGTAACTGGAAGGGCGCTCCAGTGGATAAGGGAGTACCTAAGCAATAGGAAGCAGAGAGTTACAGTGAGGGGTGAGACCTCAGAATGGCGTGAAGTCACCAGTGGAGTCCCACAGGGCTCTGTACTTGGACCTATCCTGTTACTGATATACGTAAATGATCTCCCAGAGGGTATAGACTCATTCCTCTCAATGTTTGCTGACGACGCCAAAATTATGAGAAGGATTAAGACAGAGGAGGACAGCTTGAGGCTTCAAGAAGACCTGGACAAGCTGCAGGAATGGTCGAACAAATGGCTGTTAGAGTTTAACCCAAGCAAATGTAGTGTAATGAAGATAGGGGTAGGAAGCAGGAGACCAGATACAAGGTATCATTTTGGAGATGAAATACTTCAAGAGTCAGAGAGAGAGAAAGACCTGGGGGTTGATATCACGCCAGACCTGTCCCCTGAAGCTCATATCAAGAGGATAACATCAGCAGCATATGCCAGGTTGGCTAACATAAGAACGGCCTTTAGAAACTTGTGTAAGGAATCTTTCAGAACATTATATACCACATATGTCAGACCAATCCTGGAGTATGCGGCCCCAGTATGGAGTCCATATCTAGTCAAGGATAAGACTAAACTGGAAAAGGTTCAAAGGTTTGCCACCAGACTAATACCCGAGCTGAGAGGTATGAGCTACGAGGAGAGACTACGGGAATTAAACCTCACTTCGTTGAAAGACAGAAGAGTTAGGGGGGACATGATCACCACATTCAAGATTCTGAAGGGGATTGATAGGGTAGATAAAGACAGTCTATTTAACACAAGAGGCACACGCACTAGGGAACACAGATGGAAACTGAGTGCCCAAATGAGCCACAGAGATATTAGAAAGAACTTTTTTAGTGTCAGAGTGGTTGACAAATGGAATGCATTAGGCAGGGATGTGGTGGAGGCTGACTCCATATACAGTTTCAAGTGTAGATATGATAGAGCCCAAAAGGCTCAGGAATCTGTACACCTGTTGATTGACAGTTGAGAGGTGGGACCAAAGAGCCAGAGCTTAACCCCCGCAAGTACAATTAGGTGAGTACACACAATGTACAGAAGAAAGTGAGTTTCAAGGCAATGTACACTAATATAGATGGGATTACAATTAAAACAAGTGAACTTGGAGAATGGGCACTAGAAGAAAACCCAGACATAATAGCACTCACAGAAACAAAGCTAACGAAAAACCATAACAAATGCAGTGATTCCACAGGATTACTATGATGTAAGGAAATAGAGAGAAGGAAGACGAGGAGGTGATGTAGCTCTGGTGGTAAAAAAATGCTGGAGTTTTGAGGAGATGGTTATCCAGGGCTGTGAAGGTTTCGGTGACTACAAAACTGGTTTCATAGCAATTGGAGGAGAATAACTATAGCAGTAGTCATCTACAACTCCCCACCAAGTGACAGAAAATTCAGACAGGAATATGATAGAAACAACATGGCCACCATTAATATAATAGAGAGCAGCTTCCGTCACCAGCAGAACGGATCTGGACTACTAATCATGGGAGACTTCAACCACAGGAAGATAGATTGGTCTATCATCCTCTGGAGGGTTATTAAACCCTACCAGCCTCTGGAGGGTCATTAAGGCCTGAAACGTGGTTGTAAAGCTGTGGGTGGATGGTGTGGCAGGGAGAGGGAAGCAGCAGGGTCACCAACCTGACACTGAGCCTCGGGGTCGGCGTAGTAGCCGCCATGCTGATGGTCGCTACAGGAGAAGGTCGTCCTCGGCACCATGGAGTACTGCGGGTAGTCACTCGAGCCCCTGGTCGAGCCCCTGGCCTGTGGAGGGGTATACCTTGTGTATTACACACTGCTATACACAACAGTCTGCTCATACACACACTGCTATACACACAGTCTGGTCATACACACTGCTATACACAACAGTCTGGTCATACACACTGCTATACACAACAGTCTGCTCATACACACACTGCTATACACACAGTCTGCTCATACACACACTGCTATACACACAGTCTGGTCATACACACTGCTATACACAACAGTCTGGTCATACACACTGCTATACACACAGTCTGGTCATACACACTGCTATACACAACAGTCTGGTCATACACACTGCTATACACAACAGTCTGCTCATACACACACTGCTATACACACAGTCTGGTCATACACACACTGCTATACACAACAGCCTGGTCATACACACTGCTATACACAACAGTCTGCTCATACACACTGCTATACACAACAGTCTGGTCATACACACTGCTATACACAACAGTCTGGTCATACACACTGCTATACACAACAGTCTGCTCATACACACACTGCTATACACACAGTCTGGTCATACACACACTGCTATACACACAGTCTGGTCATACACACACTGCTATACACAACAGCCTGGTCATACACACACTGCTATACACACAGTCTGGTCATACACACACTGCTATACACAACAGGTCTGGTCATACACACACTGCTATACACACAGTCTGGTCATACACACTGCTATACACAACAGTCTGCTCATACACACACTGCTATACACACAGTCTGCTCATACACACACTGCTATACACACAGTCTGGTCATACACACACTGCTATACACACAGTCTGGTCATACACACACTGCTATACACACAGTCTGGTCATACACACACTGCTATACACACAGTCTGGTCATACACACACTGCTATACACAACAGCCTGGTCATACACACTGCTATACACAACAGTCTGCTCATACACACACTGCTATACACAACAGTCTGGTCATACACACTGCTATACACAACAGCCTGGTCATACACACTGCTATACACAACAGCCTGGTCATACACACTGCTATACACAACAGTCTGGTCATACACACTGTCATACACAACAGTCTGGTCATACACACTGCTATACACACATTCTGGTCTGTCTTCCTGGCTACCGGCTTTCCTTCTCTGTCTCTTTGCCTCCGATTCCTTGGCAAGTGACTCCTCGAACTTGGAGAGACTGAACAGACTGCCTCCAGGCTGAACGGTCTGCAGCCAGTGTCTCCCATATAGCAAGATCGACGTTCATGGCTTTCAGGTCCCTCTTGCATACGTCTTTGTACCGTAGCTGGAGCTTGCCTGTTGGACGCTTTCCCTGCATCAGCTCTCCGTACAGGAGATCCTTGGGGATCCTGCCGTCGCCCACAACGTGCCCGAGCCAGCGCATTCGTCTCTGCTTCAGCATTGTGTACATGCTGGTGATTCTTGCTCTCCCCATGACGTTGTTTTTGTCACCTTGTCCTGCCAGGTGATGTCCAAGATGTGTCGCAGGCAGCGCATGTGGTAGGCATTCAGCTGTCTTTCCTGACGGGCGCGGAGTGTCCAAGACTCACTGCCATAAAGGAGAGTGCTCAGGACACAGGATCTGTAAACCTGAATCTTAGTATACTCAGTTAGCCTATTGTTGGCCCACACTCTCTTTGTCAGTCTGGACATGGTAGTAGATGCCTTACCGATGCGTTTGTTTAGCTCCGTATCAAGAGAGAGGGAGTCAGAGATTGTGGAGCCCAGGTACACGAAGTCGTGAACGACTTCCAGTTTGGAATTGGAGATGCCGATGTCAGGTGGGGAGTCCACTCCTTGTCCCATGACTTGTGTTTTCTTCAGACTGATAATGAGTCCAAAAGCCTGAGAGGCCTCACTGAAGCGGGTCATGAGCCTTTGGAGGTCTTCGGTTGAGTGAGCAGTGACTGCTGCGTCGTCGGCAAAAAGGAAGTCGCGCAGACACCTCAGGCGAACCTTCGTCTTGGCTCTCAGCCTGGCGAGGTTAAAGAGCTTCCCATCCGACCTGGTCCGGAGGTAAATGCCCTCCGTGACAGATCCGAAGGCCGCAGCATAACTGCGAAGAAAATCCCGAATAGGGTTGGAGCCAGTACGCAGCCCTGCTTTACTCCACTTTGGATGTGAAAGGCGTCTGATGTTAGGCCATCAAAGACCACGGTGGCCACCATGTTCTCATGGAAAGATCTGATGATGCTGAGGAGCCTGGGTGGGCATCCGATCTTGGGGAGGATCTTGAACAGGCCATCCCTGCTGACGAGGTCGAAGGCCTTCGTCAGATCTATGAAGGCTACGAAGAGTGGCTGCTTCTGTTCCCTGCATTTCTCCTGCAGTTGTCTGAGGGAAAAGACCATGTCGATGGTGGACCTGCCAGCTCTGAATCCGCATTGTGATTCTGGATAAACTCTCTCTGCAAGTACTTGGAGCCTCTTCAATGCGACTCGAGCAAACAGCTTTCCGACAATACTGAGGAGGGAGATTCCACGGTAGTTGTTGCAGTCGCCCCTGTCATCTTTATTCTTATACAGCGTGACGATGTTGGCATCCCTCATGTCCTGTGTCACCTCTCCTTCTTCCCAGCAGAGGCAGAGAATTTCGTGCAGCTCCATGAGCAGGCTACCTCTGCAGCACTTCAAGGTCTCAGCAGGAATGCCATCTTTGCCAGGAGCTTTACCAGAAGCAAGGGAGTCTAGGGCATCGCTGAGTTCTTCCAGGGTCGGTTCGCTGTCGAGCTCCATTAACACAGGCAGACACTCAATGGCGCTCAGGGCGTCTTCGGTGACCACATTGTCCCTGGCGTATAGCTCAGAGTAGTGCTCGACTCAGCGCTTCAGCTGCAGTGTCTGGTCCTGAATCACCTCGCCAGTGGCAGATTTCAGAGGAGCGGTCTTCTTCTGGATTGGGCCGAGGGCCTGCTTGATGACGTCACACATTCCCCTTACATTGCCTGTATCCGCTGCAGTCTGTATCTGGGAGCAGAGCTGGAGCCAATAGTTGTTGGCACATCGCCTGGCGCTCTGCTGCACTTTGCAGCGGCCAGCCGGAAGGATCTGTAAGTTGCGCTGACTTGGGCAGGCTTTGTAGGCTGCCAAGGCGTTTCTCTTCTCTTCGATGACAAGTGTCATCTCTTCCGAGTGAGCCTCGAACCAGTCTGCCGACCTGCTGGTCTTCTTGACAAAGGTGGAAATGGCAGCGTTGAACACAGCGTCTCTGAAGTGCTCCCATCCTTTACAGGCAGTGACCCCGGCTGGGCCAGGGAGAGCTTCCTCGAGCACGCGGGCAAAATCTTCCACCTTGTCCTGGTTGCGGGTCTTGGTGGTGTCGATGCGAGGTCTGCCCGCCTTTTTCGAGTGATGAATCTTCTTTGGTTGCATCTTGACCCTGCTACATACCAGGGAGAGGTCGGTGTCACAGACAGCACTCTGGTAGCTACGCGTAATCTTGACGCTGGGTAGACTTGCACGCCTGGTAAGAATCAGGTCAAGCTGGTGCCAGTGCTTGGATCTGGGGTGTCTCCAAGATACTCGGTGTTGAGGCTTTGTGCCGAAGAACGTGTTGGTGACACAAAGACCATGAAGGCAGCAGAGTTCTAGCAGACGTTGTCCGTTCTCATTCATCCTCCCTATGCCGAATTGACCCAAGTGGGTCATACATAATGCTATACTCAACAGTCTGATCATACATAAAGCTATACACAACAGTCTGGTAGCACATAATGCTACACACACACAGTTATGTGGGCCCCCTGTCTTAGTCCCCCCCCCTGGTGTGCCGCATTCCTCCCCCTCCCTCCCTCCCTCCCTCCCTCACTCACCGCAGGTTTCAGCTCCTTGGCCCCGCCTCCTGCTGACTCTTGTTCCTGAGTGACAACTCCGTCAGCCCTGGCGGCATCCTCAGGTCTGGCAGAGCTCTTCCTGGGGTCACTGGCTGGGGTCCTTGTGGGGTCACTGGCTGGGGTCGTCACGAGGGTCGTGGTTGGGTCATTAGCACGGGCGCGCGTGAAGTCGTTCGCAAGAGCCTGTGTTGGGTCGTAGGCAGGTTCCTGTGCAGGATTGTTCACTTGGCTGCGTGTGGGGTCGTCCTCAATCAGGGCTTGCGCGGGGTCGTACACAAAGGTCTGAACGGAACCATTGGTTCTGGCCCGCACGGAGTCGTTAGCACTGGTCTGTGTGGGGTAGTTAGTGCGGGCCTGAGCTGGGTCAGAGGTCAGTGGTTCACTGGTCTGTTTGGGGTAGTTAGTGCGGGCCTGAGCTGGGTCAGAGGTCAGTGGTTCACTGGTCTGTGTGGGGTAGTTAGTGCGGGCCTGAGCTGGGTCAGAGGTCAGTGGTTCACTGGTCTGTGTGGGGTAGTTAGTGCGGGCCTGAGCTGGGTCAGAGGTCAGTGGTTCACTGGTCTGTTTGGGGTAGTTAGTGCGGGCCTGAGCTGGGTCAGAGGTCAGTGGTTCACTGGTCTGTGTGGGGTAGTTAGTGCGGGCCTGAGCTGGGTCAGAGGTCAGTGGTTCACTGGTCTGTGTGGGGTAGTTAGTGCGGGCCAGAGCTGGGTCAGAGGTCAGTGGTTCACTGGTCTGTGTGGGGTAGTTAGTGCGGGCCTGAGCTGGGTCAGAGGTCAGAGGTTCACTGGTCTGTGTGGGGTAGTTAGTGGGGGCCTGAGCTGGGTCAGAGGTCAGTGGTTCACTGGTCTGTGTGGGGTAGTTAGTGCGGGCCTGAGCTGGGTCAGAGGTCAGTGGTGCTGGAGCGTCACTGGAGAGGTCAAGCTGCTGGTTAATGTCTTTTGCTCTAACGTCAAACGCATAATTGTCTTCATTAACTCTTTGATCAAAGCCTTGGCTGACGTCTTGTACAGGATGGCCAAAGCCTTGGCTGACGTCTTCCACAGGATGGTCAAAGCCTTGGCTGACGTCTTCCACAGGATGGTCAAAGCCTTGGCTGACGTCTTCCACAGGATGGTCAAAGCCTTGGCTGACGTCTTCCACAGGATGGTCAAAGCCTTGGCTGACGTCTTCCACAGGATGGTCAAAGCCTTGGCTGACGTCTTGTACAGGATGGTCAAAGCCTTGGCTGACGTCTTGTACAGGATGGTCAAAGCCTTGGCTGACGTCTTGTACAGGATGGTCAAAGCCTTGGCTGACGTCTTGTACAGGATGGTCAAAGCCTTGGCTGACGTCTTCTACAGGATGGTCAAAGCCTTGGCTGACGTCTTCTACAGGATGGTCAAAGCCTTGGCTGACGTCTTCTACAGGATGGTCAAAGCCTTGGCTGACGTCTTCTACAGGATGGTCAAAGCCTTGGCTGACGTCTTCTACAGGATGGTCAAAGCCTTGGCTGACGTCTTCTACAGGATGGTCAAAGCCTTGGCTGACGTCTTCTACAGGATGGTCAAAGCCTTGGCTGACGTCTTGCACAGGATGGTCAAAGCCCTGATTCAACTGGTTTGATGACGATTCAAACTGCTGATTGACCTCATTTATTGTTTGGTTAAAGCCCTGGTTAAATTCGTTCACTGGAAGGTCACGTTGTAGGTTGACCTCAGTGGCTGGGTGGTCAAAGCCCTGGTTGAAGGTGCTCGTTGAAAGGTCGAACTGCTGGTTGACCTCAGTTGCTGGCGGGTCAAAGGTCAAAGGGTCAAAGTTCTGGAGTTGGTCAGCAGATGAATCCGAGTCAGCTGGCGGGAGGTCAAGGAAGCCGCTGAGGTCAGAGGCGACGGCGGTGACCAGGCGTTCCTGCTGTGGTCAAGAGAGATCAGTAAAGGAAGGTTAATGACCTTCTCAATGGACAAAGTTTTGTTAATTATTTACCTATCCTCAGATTCCTTACTTAACCAAGACCTATGATGCCTTGTGAATGATATGGCACAGTAACAAGCATGGATTATACATCTGGAGGTGGTATTGTCACCTAGAGGGCATGGATTATACATCTGGAGAGTGTAGTGTCACCTAGAGGGCATGGATTATACATCTGGAGAGTGTATTGTCACCTAGAGGGCATGGATTATACATCTGGAGAGTGTATTGTCACCTAGAGGGCATGGATTATACATCTGGAGAGTGTATTGTCACCTAGAGGGCATGGATTATACATCTGGAGAGTGTAGTGTCACCTAGAGGGCATGGATTATACATCTGGAGAGTGTAGTGTCACCTAGAGGGCATGGATTATACATCTGGAGAGTGTATTGTCACCTAGAGGGCATGGATTATACATCTGGAGAGTGTATTGTCACCTAGAGGGCATGGATTATACATCTGGAGAGTGTATTGTCACCTAGAGGGCATGGATTATACATCTGGAGGTGGTAGTGTCACCTAGAGGGCATGGATTATACATCTGGAGGTGGTAGTGTCACCTAGAGGGCATGGATTATACATCTGGAGAGTGTATTGTCACCTAGAGGGCATGGATTATACATCTGGAGGTGGTAGTGTCACCTAGAGGGCATGGATTATACATCTGGAGGTGGTAGTGTCACCTAGAGGGCATGGATTATACATCTGGAGGTGGTAGTGTCACCTAGAGGGCATGGATTATACATCTGGAGAGTGTAGTGTCACCTAGAGGGCATGGATTATACATCTGGAGGTGGTAGTGTCACCTAGAGGGCATGGATTATACATCTGGAGGTGGTAGTGTCACCTAGAGGGCATGGATTATACATCTGGAGGTGGTAGTGTCACCTAGAGGGCATGGATTATACATCTGGAGAGTGTATTGTCACCTAGAGGGCATGGATTATACATCTGGAGAGTGTATTGTCACCTAGAGGGCATGGATTATACATCTGGAGAGTGTAGTGTCACCTAGAGGGCATGGATTATACATCTGGAGAGTGTATTGTCACCTAGAGGGCATGGATTATACATCTGGAGAGTGTAGTGTCACCTAGAGGGCATGGATTATACACCTGGAGGTGGTAGTGTCACCTAGAGGGCATGGATTATACACCTGGAGGTGGTAGTGTCACCTAGAGGGCATGGATTATACATTTGGAGAGTGTAGTGTCACCTAGAGGGCATGGATTATACACCTGGAGGTGGTAGTGTCACCTAGAGGGCATGGATTATACATCTGGAGAGTGTAGTGTCACCTAGAGGGCATGGATTATACATCTGGAGAGTGTATTGTCACCTAGAGGGCATGGATTATACATCTGGAGAGTGTATTGTCACCTAGAGGGCATGGATTATACATCTGGAGAGTGTATTGTCACCTAGAGGGCATGGATTATACATCTGGAGAGTGTATTGTCACCTAGAGGGCATGGATTATACATCTGGAGAGTGTATTGTCACCTAGAGGGCATGGATTATACACCTGGAGGTGGTAGTGTCACCTAGAGGGCATGGATTATACACCTGGAGGTGGTAGTGTCACCTAGAGGGCATGGATTATACATTTGGAGAGTGTAGTGTCACCTAGAGGGCATGGATTATACACCTGGAGGTGGTAGTGTCACCTAGAGGGCATGGATTATACATCTGGAGAGTGTAGTGTCACCTAGAGGGCATGGATTATACATCTGGAGAGTGTATTGTCACCTAGAGGGCATGGATTATACATCTGGAGAGTGTATTGTCACCTAGAGGGCATGGATTATACATCTGGAGAGTGTATTGTCACCTAGAGGGCATGGATTATACATCTGGAGAGTGTATTGTCACCTAGAGGGCATGGATTATACACCTGGAGGTGGTAGTGTCACCTAGAGGGCATGGATTATACACCTGGAGGTGGTAGTGTCACCTAGAGGGCATGGATTATACATTTGGAGAGTGTAGTGTCACCTAGAGGGCATGGATTATACATTTGGAGAGTGTAGTGTCACCTAGAGGGCATGGATTATACACCTGGAGGTGGTAGTGTCACCTAGAGGGCATGGATTATACACCTGGAGGTGGTAGTGTCACCTAGAGGGCATGGATTATACACCTGGAGAGTGTAGTGTCACCTAGAGGGCATGGATTATACACCTGGAGAGTGTAGTGTCACCTAGAGGGCATGGATTATACACCTGGAGAGTGTAGTGTCACCTAGAGGGCATGGATTATACATCTGGAGGTGGTAGTGTCACCTAGAGGGCATGGATTATACATCTGGAGGTGGTAGTGTCACCTAGAGGGCATGGATTATACATCTGGAGAGTGTAGTGTCACCTAGAGGGCATGGATTATACACCTGGAGAGTGTAGTGTCACCTAGAGGGCATGGATTATACACCTGGAGAGTGTAGTGTCACCTAGAGGGCATGGATTATACACCTGGAGAGTGTAGTGTCACCTAGAGGGCATGGATTATACATCTGGAGGTGGTAGTGTCACCTAGAGGGCATGGATTATACATCTGGAGGTGGTAGTGTCACCTAGAGGGCATGGATTATACATCTGGAGGTGGTAGTGTCACCTAGAGGGCATGGATTATACATCTGGAGGTGGTAGTGTCACCTAGAGGGCATGGATTATACATCTGGAGGTGGTAGTGTCACCTAGAGGGCATGGATTATACACCTGGAGGTGGTAGTGTCACCTAGAGGGCATGGATTATACATCTGGAGGTGGTAGTGTCACCTAGAGGGCATGGATTATACATCTGGAGGTGGTAGTGTCACCTAGAGGGCATGGATTATACATCTGGAGGTGGTAGTGTCACCTAGAGGGCATGGATTATACATCTGGAGAGTGTAGTGTCACCTAGAGGGCATGGATTATACACCTGGAGAGTGTAGTGTCACCTAGAGGGCATGGATTATACACCTGGAGAGTGTAGTGTCACCTAGAGGGCATGGATTATACACCTGGAGAGTGTAGTGTCACCTAGAGGGCATGGATTATACACCTGGAGAGTGTAGTGTCACCTAGAGGGCATGGATTATACACCTGGAGAGTGTAGTGTCACCTAGAGGGCATGGATTATACACCTGGAGAGTGTAGTGTCACCTAGAGGGCATGGATTATACATCTGGAGGTGGTAGTGTCACCTAGAGGGCATGGATTATACATCTGGAGGTGGTAGTGTCACCTAGAGGGCATGGATTATACATCTGGAGGTGGTAGTGTCACCTAGAGGGCATGGATTATACACCTGGAGGTGGTAGTGTCACCTAGAGGGCATGGATTATACACCTGGAGAGTGTAGTGTCACCTAGAGGGCATGGATTATACATCTGGAGAGTGTAGTGTCACCTAGAGGGCATGGATTATACACCTGGAGAGTGTAGTGTCACCTAGAGGGCATGGATTATACACCTGGAGAGTGTAGTGTCACCTAGAGGGCATGGATTATACACCTGGAGGTGGTAGTGTCACCTAGAGGGCATGGATTATACACCTGGAGGTGGTAGTGTCACCTAGAGGGCATGGATTATACATCTGGAGGTGGTAGTGTCACCTAGAGGGCATGGATTATACATCTGGAGGTGGTAGTGTCACCTAGAGGGCATGGATTATACACCTGGAGGTGGTAGTGTCACCTAGAGGGCATGGATTATACATCTGGAGGTGGTAGTGTCACCTAGAGGGCATGGATTATACATCTGGAGGTGGTAGTGTCACCTAGAGGGCATGGATTATACACCTGGAGGTGGTAGTGTCACCTAGAGGGCATGGATTATACATCTGGAGGTGGTAGTGTCACCTAGAGGGCATGGATTATACATCTGGAGGTGGTAGTGTCACCTAGAGGGCATGGATTATACATCTGGAGGTGGTAGTGTCACCTAGAGGGCATGGATTATACATCTGGAGGTGGTAGTGTCACCTAGAGGGCATGGATTATACATCTGGAGGTGGTAGTGTCACCTAGAGGGCATGGATTATACATCTGGAGGTGGTATACTTAAACAAAAGAACTGCATCATTATCTCACCTTGTTTATGGTGGTGTGGCTCCGGTTGTTATGATGTTCTTCTCTGTTATTGTCCGCAGTCCGACCTTGTTCTTCACTGCGAATACGTTCTCCATATACCGGTTCTCTGATTCTGTTATGGTCTACAGGAACTTGTTCTTCTCCATGGCTGTGGTGGCCATGATTATGTTCTCCTGCGTGACTGTGTTCACCATGGGTGTGTTCCCCGTGGCTGTGTTCACCATGGATGTGTTCCCCGTGGCTGTGTTCACCATGGTGGTGGTGAAGGCCATCGAGCAAGCTGCCGCGAGCCTTTATGAACAAAACAAAAGAACGTTGAGAAGCACGAAACTGCCGAAGGCCAACTGGCCCACGCTTGGAAATTATTCTTTATTAACAACCACAACCATTAATATGTGTCTAAACTACGCTTGAAACTGTGTGGGGGACTGACACAGGAATATTAGTACTAGTTGTCCATAAAGAAAATATTAGTGAGCAAGAGAGGAGGAGGCTGGGCGTACCTGGGCAGCGAGGAGGAGGACCCACAACACTGAGCTCTTCATGGCCTGCTTCACCACACTGCTTCTCTAACAACGATATCTGCAACACATTATAATTGTCTCTTGTTAATACAGTTTGTGTGTGTGTGTGTGTGTGTGTGTGTGTGTGTGTGTGTGTGTGTGTGTATACTCACCAATCTGTATTCGTTACCTTGGATGTATGGTTCTTGCGGATTGTAGAAAATACACAGTAGAACACTTCAGCAGTTTACTGAGTAAGGTGACAAGTTGTATATCTGGCCCGCCGAGGTCCTCCCTGCTCTGGGCGTGTGAGACTACTGACCCGGCCTCCAGAGTGGTCACTTCCAGCTCTGTAGGGAATGACGTCAGGGACCTACTCGATTGTGATTGGCTATATCCCAACAGTCATACAATTTAAGTACTAACATTTGTGTCTGCAGGATCGAGCAATGACTCTTGGATCCTGCCTTTCAAGTCATCGGTTGTTTACAGCAATGACTCCGGTCCTATTTCCCTGTCATATCTAGTTTTAAAATTAGTAATAGAGTTTGCTTACACAACCTGCTCCTTAAGTGCATTCCATTTTCCCACTACTCTCACGCTAAAATAAAACTTCCTAACATCTCTGTGACTCATCTGAGTTTCCAGCTTCCACCCATGTCCCCTCGTTCTGTTACTATTCCGTGTGAACATTTCGTCTGTCTACTCTGTCAATTCCCCTGAGTATTTTATACGTTCCTATCATGTCCCCGCTCTCCCTTCTTTTTTCTAGCGTCGTAATGTTCAGTTTCTTCTGGCGCTCTTCATATCCCATCCCTCGTAACTTTGGGACGAGCCTCTGAACCTTTTCTAGTTTCCTTATATGCTTCTTCAGATGGGGACTCCATGATGAGGCGGCATACTCTAAGACTGGCCTCACGTAGGTAGTGTAAAGCGCCCCAAATGCCTCCTTACTTAGGTTTCTGAATGATGTTCTAACTTTTGCCAGTGTAGAGTACGCTGCTGTCGTTATCCTATTGTGTGTGTATGTGTGCTCTCTTATTTGCTTGTACTCACCTACTTGTGCCTGCCAGATCGAACTCTAGATCGTGGACTCTGTTTTTCTAGCCGTTGGTTGTCTAATGCAATGACTCCTGGCCTATTACTCTCTCACGCATGCTTTTTAAAGTTATGAATGGAGTTAGCCTCTACAACCTGCTCCTTTAGGTCATTCCATGTACTCATTACCCGAACACTTAAAGAAAACTTTCTAACCTCTCTATGACACATCTAGTCTCAAGCTACCATCCGTGCCCCCTTGTTATGTTAATACTCATTGTAAACATTTTCTCTCTTTCCACCTTCTCAATTCCTCTAAGTATTTTATACATCTGTATCATGTTCCCCCCCCCCCCCACCCTCTCCGTCCTCCTTTCTAGCGTCGTCAGGTTCAGTTCCTTCAATCTGTCTTCGTGCCTGAAGGAACCACCTCGCAGCTCTGGGACGAGTCTCGTTGCAAACCTCTGCACCTTTTTGAGCTTCTTTATGTGTTTTAAGAGGGGGGACTCCACGATGGGGCAGCATACTCTAAGACTGGCCTCACATAGGCAGTATACAGTGATCTAAAATCCTCCTGATGGCGTACATCTCAAATAGCCTTTGACAACCAAGTCCCCCAGCTCCTGGCCTGCTCGTGTGGCTTAGCCTCTAGGCCTGGCAGAACTGCTTCTACCAATAGGAGGAGGGACAAAGGCGGGCCTCTGGTGCCTTAAAACCAGTTGCTTCGGGCAGAAGGGACTCGTCTACCTGGGAAGGCAAACCATCTAGGGGTCCCTAAGGCGGTCTGCAGCTGTTTACAGCTATATTCTGGCAAGTCCTGCGACGACACTGGTACCAAGCGTATCGGCGCCTGCCCCTCCCTTGGATCACATCGGTGGCGAGGACAGGGTGGATTTGCTGCATGGGCAACAGCCGGTTCTCCATAATTACTGCCCAGGCCTGTGCCCTGGAGAGGGCACAGGCCTGGATCTAATTGGCGTAGAGTGAGGCGCCAAGGGTTGCTTCCATCAGTGGGAGAAATCATCGGACAGCTACCGCCCGCCTCAAGCTGGGCAGCCCCCAGCCAATAAGGTGCTGTCCCGCCACGGTCCGCCTGCTCCGCTGGGTGCGTGGGGCTTAGGCCACACTCCAACAAGCGGGTCGTCACCCACACACTAGGCAAAGGAAAACAAACACAGAGCCACCCAGCTCTCAAACTGGGCACATGGAATGTAAGGACCATGACACCGGGTCTCTCGGAAGATCTCTGGCAAACTCTTCGTCAGGGTCGTCTTGGTCAGGCTCCAGAATCTTGCTGAAAGAGTGTACCCTGAGTCACAGTGTCGTTTCCGAGCAGAGAAGTCGACCACTGACATGGTGTTCTCCCTGAGACAGCTTCAAGAAAAGTGCAGGGAGCAGAGAAAAGCCTTGTACATTGCCTTCATTGACCTTACAAAGGCCTTCGACCTCGTGAGTAGGGACGGACTCTTCAAGATCTTGGCCAAAATTGGCTGTCCACCCACCCTACTCAGCATGATACAATCGTTCCACAAGGACATGAAGGGGACAGTCGTGTACGACGGCTCAACTTCTGAACCATTCAACATCAACAGCGGTGTTAAACAGGGGTGTGTTCGTGCTCCAACCCTGTTCGGCATCTTCTTCGCGAACCTCGTCAAGCATGCCTTTGGAACAACCACAGAAGGCATCTATCTCCATACAAGATCTGATGGAAAGCTCTATAATCTATCCAGACTCCGAGCAAAGACAAAGATACAGATGGGAATCCTCAGGGAGTTCCTCATCGCCGACGACGCAGCGCTCACCATACACACAGCAGAAGGCCTGCAGCAGCTACTCAACCGCTTTGCCGCAGCCTGTTCCGCATTCGGCCTGACAATCGGTCTGAAGAAGACACAGGTGATGGGACAAGATGTCAATGAGCTACACTGTATAAATATAGCAGACTATGTGCTGGAGGCGGTTCACGAGTTTGTGTACCTGGGCTCCACAATCTCAGACACCCTTTCCCTGGACACTGAGCTCAACAGACGTATCGGGAAGGCCGCAACAACACTGGCCAGGCTCACAAAGCGCGTTTGGGCAAATGTCAAACTGACAGTACACACCAAGGCACAAGTCTACATGGCATGTGTGGTGAGTACACTTCTCTACGGCTCGGAATCCTGGACCCTGCACTCTCGCCAGGAGAGACGGCTCAATACCTTTCACATGCTGAACCTGAGACGCATCCTTGACATCACGTGGAAAGACCACGTCACCATCAACACTGTACTCGAGAGAACAGGAGTCCCTTCAATGTTCACTCTGCTGAAACAGAGACGCATGCGATGGTTGGGACATGTCACACGCATGGAAGATGGCCGCATACCGAAGGACCTCTTGTATGGAGAACTGGCATCAGGAAGGAGGCCCACCGGAAGACCTCAGCTGCGTTTCAAAGACGTCTGCAAACGCGACCTCAAGCAGATGAACATGGACATCAACACTTGGGAGGCAGCAGCTGTGGACAGATCTGCCTGGAGATACAAAGTGCAGAAGGGACTCCAGCAATTCGAGGATGACCAGAAGAGGCAGGCAGAGGAAGAGAGACTTCAGAGGAAATTTCGACCACTGACGGACGCAGCCGCTTCGGCATTTATCTGCACTCGCTGCAGTCGGGTCTGCTGTTCTCAGGTTGGACTTCACAGCCACAGCAGACGCTGCACCCAACTAGACACACAAAAGGCATAACTCCATAACACCACGGGATTGATGGATGCCTACTAAATAAAGCCTCCTTATTCAAGTTTCTGAAGGATGTTCTGACTTATGCCAGGGTAGAGTATGCGGCTGATGTTATTGTGTTTACAGGAGCCTCTGGAGTTAGGTTTGGTGTAATGTCCACTCAGAGGTCTTGTTCTCTAAACGTTATGGGGACGTAGTTCCCCTTCACCGTATATTGACCTATTGGTCTCCCGGCTCCTGCCCCCCATTACCATCACCTTGTACTTGTTAGGGTCGGGTCCTGTCGTCAGCTGACACTGGTGGAGGGTCCTGTCGTCATCTGACACTGGTGGAGGGTCCTGTCGTCAGCCGACACTGGTGGAGGGTCTTGTCCTGTCGTCAGCCGACACTGGTGGAGGGTCTTGTCCTGTCGTCAGCCGACACTGGTGGAGGGTCTTGTCCTGTCGTCAGCCGACACTGGTGGAGGGTCTTGTCGTCAGCCGACACTGGTGGAGGGTCTTGTCGTCAGCTGACACTGGTGGAGGGTCTTGTCTTGTCGTCAGCTGACACTGGTGGAGGGTCTTGTCGTCAGCTGACACTGGTGGAGGGTCTTGTCGTCAGCTGACACTGGTGGAGGGTCTTGTCGTCAGCTGACACTGGTGGAGGGTCTTGTCGTCAGCTGACACTGGTGGAGGGTCTTGTCGTCAGCTGACACTGGTGGAGGGTCTTGTCGTCAGCTGACACTGGTGGAGGGTCTTGTCGTCAGCTGACACTGGTGGAGGGTCTTGTCGTCAGCTGACACTGGTGGAGGGTCTTGTCGTCAGCTGACACTGGTGGAGGGTCTTGTCGTCAGCTGACACTGGTGGAGGGTCTTGTCGTCAGCTGACACTGGTGGAGGGTCTTGTCGTCAGCTGACACTGGTGGAGGGTCTTGTCGTCAGCTGACACTGGTGGAGGGTCTTGTCGTCAGCTGACACTGGTGGAGGGTCTTGTCGTCAGCTGACACTGGTGGAGGGTCTTGTCGTCAGCTGACACTGGTGGAGGGTCTTGTCGTCAGCTGACACTGGTGGAGGGTCTTGTCGTCAGCTGACACTGGTGGAGGGTCTTGTCGTCAGCTGACACTGGTGGAGGGTCTTGTCGTCAGCTGACACTGGTGGAGGGTCTTGTCGTCAGCTGACACTGGTGGAGGGTCTTGTCGTCAGCTGACACTGGTGGAGGGTCTTGTCGTCAGCTGACACTGGTGGAGGGTCTTGTCGTCAGCTGACACTGGTGGAGGGTCTTGTCGTCAGCTGACACTGGTGGAGGGTCTTGTCGTCAGCTGACACTGGTGGAGGGTCTTGTCGTCAGCTGACACTGGTGGAGGGTCTTGTCGTCAGCTGACACTGGTGGAGGGTCTTGTCGTCAGCTGACACTGGTGGAGGGTCTTGTCGTCAGCTGACACTGGTGGAGGGTCCTGTCTTGTCGTCAGCTGACACTGGTGGAGGGTCTTGTCTTGTCGTCAGCTGACACTGGTGGAGGGTCGGGTCTTGTCGTCAGCTGACACTGGTGGAGGGTCTTGTCGTCAGCTGACACTGGTGGAGGGTCTTGTCTTGTTGTCAGCTGACACTGGTGGAGGGTCTTGTCAGCTGTATTACTGGCCGCACACTTCCCGTTTTCTTCACTGTACACTCATATTCCCCGTTTTCTTTGGGTTTTCAACACAGTTTCTCTCTCTGATGCATCTCTTTTTCTTTCCCTTATTTCAGGTTTATTTTTTATGAGTCCCTCACGTGTCCCTCACGTGTCCCCTCACCTTCATGTTGCAAACACAACAAGAACAATGTCGTCACTTGCTTTCTTTGTTCTGGCGACGTCAAACTTTTTCCTGTCAGTCACTTGTATCTGAGGTGTGTCAATGTTAATGTTATACCCGCAGCCTGGTAGACCTGGTGACCAGGTGGTGGGCCTGTCCAGTCACTCGTCATGCTGGGTGAACCTGTCCTCGTTAACTCCTATGGTGAAGGGTCACTCCGTCTGTCAGTTGTCCTGGACTGGTCAGTTGTGGACTGGAGGTCGAGACATTCCGTTCATCAAGCGTCCCCTTACCTGAGCTCCTCCACCCACGGACGCACGGATGCCACTGGTGTTTCCGCTGCGCCGACCCTGACTTTTATACTCCCGGGAGCCGTGTGGGCGGAGCCACCCGCCGGGAGCCGTGTGGGCGGAGCCACCCGCCGGGAGCCGTGTGGGCGGAGCCACCCGCCGGGAGCCGTGTGGGCGGAGCCACCCGCCGGGAGCCGTGTGGGCGGAGCCACCCGCCGGGAGCCGTGTGGGCGGAGCCACCCGCCGGGAGCCGTGTGGGCGGAGCCACCCGCCGGGAGCCGTGTGGGCGGAGCCACCCGCCGGGAGCCGTGTGGGCGGAGCCACCCGCCGGGAGCCGTGTGGGCGGAGCCACCCGCCGGGAGCCGTGTGGGCGGAGCCACCCGCCGGGAGCCGTGTGGGCGGAGCCACCCGCCGGGAGCCGTGTGGGCGGAGCCACCCGCCGGGAGCCGTGTGGGCGGAGCCACCCGCCGGGAGCCGTGTGGGCGGAGCCACCCGCCGGGAGCCGTGTGAGCGGAGCCACCCGCCGGGAGCCGTGTGGGCGGAGCCACCCGCCGGGAGCCGTGTGGGCGGAGCCACCCGCCGGGAGCCGTGTGGGCGGAGCCACCCGCCGGGAGCCGTGTGGGCGGAGCCACCCGCCGGGAGCCGTGTGGGCGGAGCCACCCGCCGGGAGCCGTGTGGGCGGAGCCACCCACCAGGGCTGGGACAGAGCCCGCGAGGATTTAAATGTTAAATTTTGCCCCGAGGGGCGAGTTTATTGGGCAGCGTCACTCATCCTGTGAGTGGACACACCGCCATAGTGACAGTATTGGGCAGCGCCACTCATCCTGTGAGTGGACACACCGCCATAGTGACAGTATTGGGCAGCGCCACTCATCCTGTGAGTGGACACACCGCCATAGTGACAGTATTGGGCAGCGCCACTCATCCTGTGAGTGGACACACCGCCATAGCAGCATGTACAACACTCCCCAATAGGAAGAAAACCCGCTGGGTTGTTCATCCTGTCACTTGTACCCAGACACAGCTGGGACTTGCTTAACTGTCTCAAGTGAACAGCTCCTCAAACAAGAAGATTAACATCTATCAACCCTTAAAAGCTTACTTTATCTTGCGGGTGCAAAATGGGGAAATCTTTTAAGAACAGTATCAATATTTGACAAATAGTGTTTTCCTAACTCAAACAATGGGGGTTTATTATTCTACACATACTTCTAATATGTCTCAGGTGTTCACATTCACGAAGATAGTGGTCAAGGCGGTGTCCATCACTCTCACCACAGATTCTGCAACTCCGCTGACCAACTGTTGTTTCCATTCCAAATCTCCATGGATATTTGTATCCAAGACGGATTCTCGCTATTACTGATTCTCTCCCGCGTCCTCCTCCTCTTCGGCCATAATGATTGGGATTGCCAGCTGCAACCATGTTGTACCATCGTACAGATTCACTGGTTTGTGCTTCTATCCTCCTTTCCTCAGTTACCTTGTCACGGTGATGTTGCCTGACAATACCTCTAATTTGTAGTAGAGTCTTGGGTATGAAGTATTGAATATGGTTTCCTTCAGCAGCCAGCACGTCTGCTCGTTCATTCCCACATATTCCAACATGGGAGGGGATCCCTAACATGGGAGGGGATCCCCAACATGGGAGGGGATCCACAGAAACTTGATGACTCTTCCCTGATTGGTAAGTACTCTCACAGCTCTCTTAATTTCAGCGACTATTGCAAGATTTTCTGCCTGATTTTTACTTAGGCTTTGCAGTGCTGCTTTTGAATCGGTGCAAATCACTGCACCATTAGTGTTCCGTTCAAGAAACCTTAACGCCATAACAATGGCAGTTAGCTCTGCTTGCGTTGAAGAGGCATAGTTCTCAATACGTGCTTTTTCTTCATTTCTGCGTTGGAAAGTATTATCCTTGATTACCGTGTATACTGCACCAGCCCTGCCATTGACAGGATTAGATGACCCGTCAGTGTGAATTTGATCTAGTTCATCTCCGGCTTCTTTATAAATTTCCTCGAGGTACTTGTGCCTCATTTCTTGTGGTATCATGTTGGATTTTTTCGTTGCCATTTCATTGATGATAATCTTGCATGAGTCATCCTCCCAGGGAGGTAACCTCTCTACAGGCAGGAGCTCACGGGCTTGCTCAAGCAGGTGAAGCTCTTCAAGGTAGCAGACTGATCTGTGATGCCATTTTTTGCTTCTCCTGTTTCCCCCTGAAAGTAGCACAGAGCTCAGTTTTTTCTTAGCAATATCATTGTAATGGGGATCTCTGGCTATCCTAACTGCAAGCTTAGCATTCAGCTCCTGAATTCTGCTTTTAACACTGGGAAGGGACAACTCCTCTCGTAGATCAGGCTTTTTGGCAGTTCTTGGAACTCCAAGAATGATTGTCATGGCTTCATTTTGAATGCTTTCAAGCCTTTTCATATCGTTTTGGGAGTAGGTGCACAGAACTGGTGCGGCATAGTCTATGACGGAGCGCACATAGGCTGTGTACATTATTTAAGCACGGCAATAGAGGCTCCATGTCCATTCCAGGTCATAGCTTTCAGTGCCCTGAGTCGACTTTTGCATGTTCCTATGAGTTGATTGAGCTCCTCTTTCTTCCCCTTGTTAGAGCCGACAGTGACGCCAAGGTACCGATAGTGGTCAACCCATTCAAGTGTTACACCATTAATTTGCAGTTCTTCATTTGCTCTCCGCTTGTGATGGGAGTATGCCTTCGTCTTGTTTGTGGAGAGAGTGAAACCGAGCTCAATACATTTCCTTCCGAGGAGTTCAATGGACTGTTCAATTTTTCCAAAGGTGGGAGCTTGTATTAGGACATCATCTGCATATCCCACTTGTTGTGTTCCTTCCGGAAAATCAATATTTGCAATGGCGTTCATAAGTACATTGAATAGTGTAGGGCTTAAGACTCCGCCTTGGGGGGTCCCGAGTTCCATATTCATTGTTCTGGAGACTGCTCCATTGAAGCAAACCTTGGCTTTCCTTCCTGTGAGGTAGTCTTCAACCCATTTCAAGAGTCTTCTCTTAACACCCATGCATGCAAGCTCGTCCAGGATCGCAATCCCCTGTGCTTTGTCGAAGGCTCCTTTGATGTCAACAAATACAGAGTACCTAGCCGTGTCATTAGCCAAGTAATTAACTATACAATTTGCTGTGCTCCGTCCTTTAACAAATCCATTGACCCCCTCCCCTAACCTGCCTATTTTGTGCAACAGTCAGTTTAGGATGATCTTTCAAGCATCTTGCAAGTGCATGACACGAGACTGATAGTTCTGTAATTACCAGGGTCATTAGGCTTCGGTATGGGAACAATTATTGCGTGTGTCCATTGTGTGGGCAACACTCCACTTAGGAATGACTTGTTAAACAGGTGGAGTAGTGGATTCCCAAACACTTCACACAGTGCATTGAGTATGTCGTAGGTGACGCCATCTTCACCAGGTGCTGTACTTTTACCCTTTTTCATAGCGCCCCTTACTTCTTGGGCTGTGATTGGTTCCCCATATTCGTCATCACTAGACAGTGCTCTCGTTATCCTAATTCTTCTGTCATCATGTCGCAGGAGCTGTTCCCTGCTTACTTCTGCAGGGAGGGAGGAGGAGGATGCTGCATCACTCCACTTGTGAATTAGTTCCTCAGCCTTACCCTGGGGGTCTTTGTGAGCCGCAGGCCCGCGAGGAGTGGAACGCCAACCAGACAGGAAGAGAGTCCACCATCCTGCCGACCATCACAAGCGTTAGGCAAGTCTCAGGGGAGCACATGACACGGGGCCGTCCCTCAGGGGCCCAGTTGACAGTGTCAACACGGAGTGTTGCAACACTTACTGACACCTTGCAATGTTTACACAGTGACACAGGCAGGTGTGTACAACACTGACAGGGACACACGTGTACAACACTGACAAGGACACATGTGTACAACACTGCCAGGGACACGTGTACAACACTGACAAGGACACAGGTGTACAACACTGCCAGGGACACACGTGTACAACACTGACAAGGACACAGGTGTACAACACTGCCAGGGACACACGTGTACAACACTGCCAGGGACACACGTGTACAACACTGACACAGGTGTACAACACTGCCAGGGACACAGGTGTACAACACTGACAGGGACACACGTGTACAACACTGACACAGGTGTACAACACTGACAGGGACACACGTGTACAACATTGACACAGGTGTACAACACTGCCAGGGACACATGTGTACAACACTGACACAGGTGTACAACACTGCCAGGGACACATGTGTACAACACTGACACAGGTGTACAACACTGACAGGGAAACACGTGTACAACACTGACACAGGTGTACAACACTGACAGGGAAACACGTGTACAACACTGACACATGTGTACAACACTGACACAGGTGTACAACACTGCCAGGGACACATGTGTACAACACTGACACAGGTGTACAACACTGACAGGGACACACGTGTACAACACTGACAGGGAAACACGTGTACAACACTGACACATGTGTACAACACTGACACATGTGTACAACACTGACAGGGACACACGTGTACAACACTGACAGGGACACACGTGTACAACACTGACAGGGACACACGTGTACAACACTGACAGGGACACACGTGTACAACACTGGCAGGGACACACGTGTACAACACTGGCAGGGACACAGGTGTACAACACTGACACAGGTGTACAACACTGCCAGGGACACACGTGTACAACACTGACACAGGTGTACAACACTGGCAGGGACACAGGTGTACAACACTGGCAGGGACACAGGTGTACAACACTGACACGTGTACAACACTGCCAGGGACACACGTGTACAACACTGCCAGGGACACACGTGTACAACACTGACACAGGTGTACAACACTGCCAGGGACACACGTGTACAACACTGCCAGGGACACACGTGTACAACACTGCCAGGGACACACGTGTACAACACTGCCAGGGACACACGTGTACAACACTGCCAGGGACACACGTGTACAACACTGA